GCACGCCCGACTCGTGGAAGTTGAAGAGCGTGTTCATTTCGTCCATTTCGTTTGGGTTGTGGCTCACGTTGAGCACGATCATCTTGTTTGCACTGACGTACCAAACCAACGCGTTTGACGGGTTTATCGGCGCGGAAAACCTGTGCGTGAACTGCATCAAGGACCACTGCGACGACTACTTTATGACGGCCGTCCGCACGTGTGCGTTGACGTCCAACTCGAGCGGGTGCGGCGAATTGGACGGATCGGTCATGAAAAACTCGGACTACGTCGCGCTCGGGAAGGCGCGCCAACTCGACATTGAAGGGTACTGGAAGGTCTACGAGGCCAAGTACCAAAAGTCGCAAGCTGACTTGTTTGAGCACTTGCAAGGCAACCACATCAACAGCTTTACGGACCTCGATCCAGAAGCCATGGCGACGTACGACCAATTTGTGTTTCAGTACACGTTGGGCCAGAGCGGCAAGCCGTTCCAGGGCAAAAATTACTTGGTCAACACGTCGGCGGCCATGGGCGACGGCGTCGCGTTCGTCGGGCGGGACTACCTCCCGCTCACCAACGGCGTCGGATTCTGCGACTACGTGTGGGGGTACTCCAACTTTAACTCGACCTGGTCGCGTGGGTTCAAGCTGATCGGGCCGGGCGTCCAGAAGAAGGACGGCATTCTCCGCGGGCTCATCTACACGCAAGTGTCTGTGTCAGGCCAAGCGCTCATCTTTGTCACGCGGACTGCCGGCATCAACACGTGGTTCTTTGCCGAGAAGCCGTGCAACTTGCTCCTGTTTGCGTTTGTGATTGCCCAAGTCGCGGCGTCCGTGATCGGCGCGGTCGGGTTTGCTGGGTACCCGTCGGATCGTGTGGCTGTGATCGGGTGTGGCTGGGGCTACCTCGTCTTGGCTTGGTTGTGGTCGATCTTGTGGCACTTTCCCCTCGACTTGATCAAGTTTGCCGTCAACTACATCTTGACCAACGGATCGTACACCCAAACAGCGTTCACGTCCCGCATCAACGCGGGCCATCCGTCCATGGCCCACAGCAAAGTCACGAGCGTCGCGCGCTCGATCCGCGCCAGCCGCACGGCCGCGTAGGTTTTGTTCCGTTTTCGACCCTCCTCTCTCTGCTTGTGTGTACATCTTCCGAGTGTCAGCCGACCTCCGTATAATAACAAAAATATCTTTGCAACCATCTCGTTCGCTCCACGTGAGTTCCTCAGCGTCCCCAGCGATACGGCGGGACACGTTTTTTGCGGGGTGCTGCATGGCATGCGGACGTCATCGACAACACGGTCCCGTTCCACGCCGCACGCACCACGGCGCAGCATCGCCCACGCGCCAAGCAGCACGAGCCTTGACAACCACCATCTTCCAATCGATCTCTCAACACCACAACGCTGCGCGGGAAGAGTGGTGCCCCATCTGGCCTGAAGCGCGCGGGGAGCATCATCCAGATCCAAATGTCCCAACACGCTTGTCGAGCCCGAACCACGACGCCCGCGTGGCACCATCTCCGGCTACCGATTCACGTGGACGTGCCATCCATCTCGAGCACAGTGCGCTCCGGGACC